AACTATGTATTAACCATAGGATACTAAAAAGATATCATAAAACAAGATTAACACTATGAAACCTATTAACCCATAACTCTGGAGAAGGTGGATTAATGTGATTTGGGATTTCAGATCATTTCCTTTTTTACAAACTCAATGTAAAAAGATTATTTGAAGAATATTTTCTTAAAATAAAATCTGAAAAAAAATCTGAAAAATGAGAATCTAATTTCTAAATGTCCTTCCCACCACCCGGAGTCTCTCTAGGGCAAAGTCTTTCCTGAGATCCTAGTTTAGGTGTGATTGACAGGACCTAAACCAGGGTCATGTGAAGTGAAAATAAGGACCTAGAATTAATTAAAGAGAAACTGTTAACAATATAAATATTATTTCCCCAGTTGTCCAGAAATAAAGGAAAATAATTCCTGCAGGGTCTGAAAGGCATACTCACATTCAACAGCTGCCTCTTCAACTACTTTTGTCGGCTTATATATAGAAATATATATAATCTATAAATATATATATAATATATCTTAAACATATTCTGAATTATTAAAATAAAAAACACTAAATTATTAAATGTATGTGTCCCCCCCCCTCTCTGATGATCTCCCACTGACCTCTGGTGGTATAATGTTGACATTACATCTTAGGTTGTTGAGTTCAGTCAGACTCAGTAACAGTTCCCTCTCCTCTTCTTTGACTTTTAGTTTGAGTTTGTTGTCGGATAAAGTTTTTTCATTTTGCGTGTGAAGAAAGACTTCTAACATAAGCAAAAATTAAAAATGTACAGTGACCATTTTTTATATACGATACAACAAGTGAACTGTCCTGGAGTCTCGCGGGATTTCGACATTAGTCCAAACAGGTAAGCGGCGGGAAGAAACGTAAGATGGCAGCACAGTCCTACCTGTGTGAGGGAATAGTCCCAGATAGTTGAATCACTTAAAGGCACAAATAGCCAGGGACCATACACACATTTTGGTAAGATTTTGTTTGTCACATATTGTTAAGTTGGATTTTATTTATTGGTAAACTATATATCTCTCAGTGTGTGAACTTAAAACAATATAAAAATAAGTAAAATTATGATTAAACACAGTTGTATTAGCTAACAGTTAGCAACAGTATTAGTCTCACAGAGGCCTACTACCTACCTACTAGACTATTTCACATATTTTTTTAATTAATATTTCATTTATTTATTGTAAACTGGTATTGTGTCAGTTTGTTTTTTTATTAAACAAGATATCAATCTTAGAACAAATAATACAAATATAGCTGTTTCTTTCATTGCTGACTGTAAAGGAGACAACATGTTGCTATCACTCTCGGCTCTAACAAAACCTGTTTACTGTTTACTGAATCACACTTTTATGGGATTATTGTTAGATAAAACTTTTAAAAGTTATCAATTAGAATAAGAAATCATTCTCTCTCCATAGCCACTTCCTCAGACAGGGACTTCAATTTGTATCATGATTATTAATCATTAATTATTTAATAATGATTGAATAAAACAGCCAGTACAGTATCTTAAACAAACCTAATTTATCCTACCCTATGTTTTGAGAAACAGCCAAATTGATACTTTTTGTTCAGTTTGACAACCATTACTATCATATACACTGTGAATTAGTGATATTAGGGTTCAAATCAGGGGACATAAATGTAAGTCATTAAACTACACAAACAGAACAACAAGATGACAATGCGTGCCCATTAACTGATGCATTCTCACTCAACCCATGAAACACAGGGAATGTGCCTTAGTTAATAGATGTTCTATGTGTTTATTTGGAGAATAGCAGAGAGCCCAGTAATGATCTCTGCCGCCAAAGGTCACACTCTAATTGACTAATCGAGGTCACTCGTCAAAGAGAAATCCCAGGCTTTTTATTCAGGCCAGCTTGGAGGCCATTAGTTGTAATTAACAAGCTGACTGATCAGGTGAGATTGTTGAAGAGCATCTAATGATCCTGTCATAATGACCCGACAGTCTAGGAGGTCCTAGTCAGTTTAATGGCGAGCGCTTACAGTGACAAAGATGAAAGTGACATTTGGAGTTTTTAGACCGACAACACTGTGGTGGATTGATACCTACTGTTTATACCTACTACGTGAGCTATACCTTTCCCATCTTTCCTGTTCAGAGATATAATGCACATGGCAACTTCAGCAACCTCAGCCCCAAGAAGAATCTGCTGCTGAGGTAGTACTTCTGAATGACTGTTTTTGTTGTAGTGTACAGCGGCTCCACAGGGTCTTAAATAGTCTAAAATCCAAATATCAGAATTTTAGGTATTAAAATGTCTGAAATGTGATTTTGACATGTCTTAAAATTGATTGGATAAAGTGTCATTTTTAAGTCTTGCCTTTAAACGTTTGTATTGATCATGATGTAACAACTACAGCTACAACTACAAAACGAAACCAACATGGAGCCAATACAGATTTCCTTTATATCCTTTGTATTTTTTATTGCCAGTATTGATGTAAAATAGAGCTTAAATTGCATTCATAATGATCTTAAAAGTTCTTAAAAACTCTCAAATTCTGGTCTAATCGGGGGGTTTCTCTGAAGCCAGCGTTTGGTAATAGTTTTTTTTTTTTTGCACTCAACCATAAAAGTCTTAAGCAGGTAGAGATCACTTTTACTCAAACCTTCAGGAATAACTGATACAATAAATGATACATCAATATTGATCCACTCTCCCTCCAGCAAGAGCACTGGGTCCCAGTTCATTTGGATTTCCGCTCAGTGGTTATAAAGAACCGGAAAAAAAAAATAATAATTCCAACAAAAAATCCTCCAGGTATGAGAATTAGTGGAGGAATTCCCCAGACATGCAGTCACAACTCCTGAGGTATTTTCATCTCAATCTCCCTTTCCCAATGCTGCCTTATATTATGTGTCAAGTTCTTGTTAATTGAGGTGATATACAATTATTATATTGCAACAAGAGGCAGCGAAGGGTGACTCATTGACTCACATGTTCAAATGATGACTGCGGTGTCCACTGTTTCCTGCTTTGCTATTGCAGAAGTATTATTGCAAAATGTCAAAATATCACACTTTTAACCTTTACACTTTACTGTCAGTTCTTCCTAATTTGCACAACCGCAACATGAAAGCAAACAGGAATACTCATAAAGAACGTTTGTAGTTCTTTGACTTTAGTTTCTGGATCTTCCTCCATTTTGTAACTGTCTTTTTCCTGACTAATAAAACACAAGTAGCTCAGCCCGTTCACACTCAAGACTTTAACATTTGCAGTTTGAAACGCACAGTATCCGGCACTGTAGGTCTGTCTGTCTGCTGCACAGGATGGATACCTGTGGATAAGAACTGGCCTAGGTGGTAAGTATTAGCACGGATAACTATACCAAAGAAAAGAGCGAATGAGAGAATGAAACTGAACAAACACAGTACTATGGACACTGTTTGATTGACAGGTGATCCTGGGATCAGGATTAAGGCCACAACAAAGACTAATACTACTAACAATGATAACAGTAATGATGTTGGTCATGAAATTGAGCAAAAACATGTTGTCTTTAGGGGATTATGGAGCCCACTGATTTCAACAACAGAAGCATTTAAGGTTAATTATTAAAACATGAAGCTTCTGCAGCATCTCGCTCAAGATCACTGCAGCAGGACACAGGGTCATCACTGGAGGAGGGTTAGTCTGCCTGTACAACCACGAGACAACCGCTTCCTCTCCCTCCGTTAAATAATTAGCTAACTTAATTAATGAGCGGGTTTGACCAGATTTGCCCTCATCCAATTAAAAACTGTATGAGGATGTGTAAACACCAGGTTACGGGACATCTAATCACATAATGAAACTGCTGGGTCATATTTAAAAAAAAAAAAAACCTACAATAGCAAACAAGTGTGGAGAATAAATCATTTACGAATCAGAAGTCCTCGGAGGGAGTATATACTTGCTCATTTGCGCGCAACCTAAATTCATTATTTATCCCAGAGAATGAATAAATTGTCCCCGCTAGCCTGTGATTGAACTTGAGCTGGTGAAAAATTCAGCCTGCGCTCTCGTACCCCAGTGAGCCGCTATCTAATGAAAATAACAGAGCAAGAAAGAAGGCACAAGCTTTACATAATGATTGCATTTGGGTTGGGAGTGGAAATGGAGAAAATAATGAGAAGGAGCCGAGGAGGAGACTTTGGTACTGAGCAAGAGAGAAAGAGAGTTGGTTTTAGAATTGATTTTAAGATCCTACTCATTACTTCTAATGCACTTCATGGCTTGGCCCTAGATTATATCACTTGAGTCACTCACCCCTTTATGAACAACACAACCTGGGTCCTGAGGCTGCTGGGCCCCTTAACCCTGATCTACCTGACGAACCCAGACTTCCAACTTTAATATATTATTTTAATCTGCTTCTGTAAACCCACTTTCATTCAAAGTCTCTTTTATGAGCACGTGTGCGTGTGTATTGAGCTATGCATGTACAGATTACTTTTCTTCTTCTTCTCCTTCTTCTTCTCATTATTTTTTTTTAATCTTTATTTGGAATTGTACTTTTCTCTCATTTTTATTCTGGCTACCTGATCTAAATTTCTATTATTGACTTAGTTTTGTATTGTTTTTTCATTGTTAGGTGCCATTTGTAAAGCTTAGAGTACTCGCTGGGTTTGATAAGTGTGATATATTATAAAGAAAGAAAGAAAAAGATTAAGTGAGGTAGTAAGTGCAACAGGAAAAAGAGGGAAAGAGGGGGAGTGAGAGACAGAGAAAATGAGAGTGAGAAAAATGGGAATAAAGATGAAAGCTGATTTGTCTCTCTCATTTCCACTTTAACTAGGTTTTCCAGAGCAGTGAATAGGCGTGCGTGCCTGCATTTGTGTGTGTGTGTGTGTGTGTGTGTGCAGGCTGGCCAAAACCATCTTGGATCTTGCTCCCTCCGCCTCCCAGAGAGAGAGAGAGAGAGAGAGAGAGAGAGAGAGCAGTCACATGCAGAGAGGAGCGGGGACGAGAGACAGAACAGAAGAGAGCTGTCAAGCTGTGAGGAGGCAGCAGAGAGACGACTTAGTTTTTTCTTGGAATACATTCTCCCCTCCATCTCTGAAGCCCACACACATACTTAAAAAAATATATATAAACACACAAACACACAGATGGTAAAGTGTGTGTGAGTGCTGTTACCCTCTTGCGAGGAGCGGTGAATTATTTTCAGGATCTGGACTTACTCAAGCCCCGACTCACTTGGACTGTAAGAGTGTTTGGATTCAGCATCCCTGTGACTTGGACTTAAAGTCAGTGCAACACTTTGGGCTGAGAGTGTGTATCCCTGCGTGTGTGTGTTTGGGATTCAGCACTTCACCTGAATGCAACACTGAGATTTTGACTGAAACTGTGTTGGCACTTGTTAGTTCAGAATTCAGCAGATTTGAACTCACACTTGGACTCAGCGTGTGTTTGTGTGTGTGTGTGTGATAAGTAGGAGGATGTGTTGGCCGGTGACAGTGGTCCTGCTAGCCCACCTCGGGGCCACCTTAACGGGGGCATGGAGAGCATCTCAACCAAGACTGCAGTTCACACACTCCGGTAAGAGTCAACCTTTTTCTTTTTTTTGTGTGTGTTTCAAGTCTGTCTTCACTTTGTCTAACACATCTGTCTCGTTCTCTACACAGTCACGCACATGCAGGTTACAGAAATCACACACAGCCTCCATTTTTTCACTTTTCTTTCTTTCCTGCCCTATTAATGCCCACGCACTGTATATGTGCAGCACAAATTATACCTTTGCCTTTCTGTTCCTCTACCTGTCTCGATCTGCCGTTTTTGTTTCTTTCCCACACTGCCTCTCTCCCTCCATCTCTGTAATCACCTGTATTGAGTTAATCTTTCTCCAGTAGTCAAGTTTCGCCGCCCACCTCACTTTCTACTCTTACCATGAGGTCTGTTCCGAAGGGGAATAATTTAAGAGCTCATTTTGTCTGTCCAACACAGGCTTGATTACATATTACATATTCATAATTTTAAACGGTTACAGTGTATTACAGTAAGGGTGGCAGGGCTATAAAACAGCTTAAGTCTAACTTGGTACTCATTTTCATAGTTTTGTCCATCATTCCTTTTAATTATTATAACATTCTCACCAAAGTAATCTCTGAGATCTGGAAACAGACAGACAGGTTGTAAACAAGCCAACACTTACATCACAATCACTTTATTTGTAAGTGACACAGAAAGTGAGTGCACCTGAATTGTTGCTAATATTCTCCTATTACACTGAAAAACAACTATATCAAGTAACGTATGTCAAACCTGAACCAGGAGCAGCTGGGGTATAATCTGTGGTGATGTTGACAATGGGCAGTTTAATGATAATTAGACCTTTTACTTTTGTTTTCTCTTCCAAATAAGTTGGGCAAAACTTTGAGTTCTGATCGTCAGACCTCTTATGTTTCTTCCCTATTTAAATTCTTTATCCCACGCATTAACAAAAAACGGGAATCATCCATTAAGACCTTTACTTACAGCTTCTTTGGCAGAAATTAATTGGCTGAAATATCAATTAAAGTGCTAGCAATATTAATATTTTCCAAAGCAGATACAAAGCATAATGATAGCAACAAGACTGCAGATAGGGGGGCTATTTTATTGGCTTGCGATTAATTTCCTGTCGAAATCAAATCCGTTGCCAACTTCTTTGAAACAATTTGACAATTAAGCTTCACACCCAAATACATCCTCCCTGTCATAAACTGACTTCTTGACAGCTCAGACGCCCCCTCAGGATTCGAAATCAAGTGTCTCTGTCTGTTATTTTCAGTTATGGCTAACAAAGAAATAATTATCTGATGGCAGAATTCCCAGATCCAGATCAGCACCAAATTAATTATTTCTTGGCCCCAGGCCGATCTGTCCACCACAGTAAAATCCATGCAGAGGTTGCTGGAAAAAGCCCGCAGACAGACACAACAGCACCTCCTCAAAAAGGGGAAAGGAAAGGAACTTGAACTTCTTTCAAGTAAAATATGAAATTCCAGCCATTTATTTTTCATATACTGTGGCGGAGAACGCATTTGTGCATCGGTATGCTAGTGTGGTTCACCCTCTGTCTCTTCATGCACTTGTTAGTTGCCATTGTGCAGCTCGTTGCATAAACACATGTTGTTGAATCAAGATGCCAGCGTTGAAAGGAGCGCAGTCTCTCGCATTAGTAGGTTCACGCATGGTTGAATTGGAGTCGGCGGGTCCTTTTAAAGGGGTGAGGCAGTGCTGCACAAGCCTCTATTTGTTGGTGTTTGCTGTAACCTTGTGGGAGCAGCAGTGGGGTGGGGTTTGCCTCACCGGAGAATAGGAGGAAGGTTTGATGGACACTGTGTTTGAGGCTCTCTGCGATGTCCTGAAGCATTAAGCCCCATCAGTCGTGTCCCCCAAACCGGGCAGGATTTAAGACCCACATTGGCTGTTTTGTTGTTGGGGCATAACAAACGTGACGGTCAAAAGTAATGAGAAAGCAAAGATGTGCATCTTCTAATTAACACAGGATTTGGGATTTGATCTTTTGCCTTCTCAGCCATATTTACAGTGAATTGTCCTCAAATTAAAAGCTTTTTTGAGGCATGCAGTCCTTTAGTTAGGGTGGGATAAACTCATTTCCCTTTAATCATGTTTACCAGAGACACCGTAGAGTAAGAAACTGACTGATTACACATCCTTACATAAGCCGAAACACAAAGGGTCTATGAAGTAGATGTGATAAGGCTGAAGTCGACCATCCGTGACCTAGAAAGTACAGAGAGAGGGAGAAGGGAAACCTTGTTGGATTCTCCCAGGTGGGAATTTAGCTCTAATGAAATCTGAATGTGAAAATGGGAAGAGCTGCTAAAGTAGTGTGTTTGTGTGTGTCTCTGTGAGCACGAGCTACATGCCTGTTAGTATGTGTGTGTGTGGGTACATGTGCATGTAGTTTTGTTTAAGTCATTTGAAGATATGAGTTTGTGTGTGTGTGTGTGTGTGTGTGTATCGAAATAGAGCTGTTTCATTTCCAGGATCTCTGCCCACCTCCGCCTTTGTTGTTGTGTGTTCTTCATGTCTTTGAACCACAGAGGTTTGTGTGTGTTGTATATCTACAGTGCTCATCTTCGGAAAGACAACAAAAACAAAATGTATGATGTGATGTGTGTAGGGACTGCAGTGGTCTACATGTCCACTACAATGCCTTTATGTGTGTGTGTGTGTGTGTGTGTGTGCGTGGCTCTGTGGGAGCTTCATGCTGTGGTCATTTCCCTTGTCATCATCACGGAGGATTTTCTGAGACAGATGGAGGAGATTTTTTGTCGTGGAATCGCTGTAATTAGAAGAGGATGTCAGTTCCACTTAAACACTTTGACTCTGAGGTAGTTCGGCAGTTCAGAGCCATTGCACATTTTGACTGTCTTTCGTCTGTTGAACTCGTAGCTGACAACTAATTCGAAAACCGGTAGAGTCTGACATTTAAGAGAAGTATTTTTCCTCCTGTTTTTAAAGAAAATGGGCTACTATAAAGAGCAGTGAAGTAGAAACCCAAAACATCCCAGTTATTTAACTGAAGTGATGCAGCAGCAAAATGATGAGGAAAGCAAGAAAAACGATGACAATGAGACAACAGCCACAGAAGATGAAAAGAACAGTATGAGGATCTACTAACCAATGTGAAACACAGAAATGACCAGTTAATATTTCATGAACACATCAGTTTAACTCACAGTACTGTAATAGAGCTGTGCCACTCTCATGCTAGCAAACAATCCGTAGGAGTGAGAACATTTTTAATGCATGATACTGGAAAATTAAAACCTGTGCAATGTACACTTCTGCAGACTAAAAGCCTAATAATTTAGATGATTTTCACATTTTAATATCCTCCACTGGCTGAGAAACTGCTCCAACCACGGTGCTTTTGAAACACGTTCAAAACCACACTGTAAAAACTCTGAAATCCATCAAGCTGAAAATGAGGCTTTTTTTGACATAGAAAGGTTTCACCTGCCAGCAGCAGTGAACTATTTTATTTAAACCCACCAGTTGAAGGGAGGCTCTCATCAGACTGAAGCTATGTCCTGATTCTAAAGGTATCTAATGCATTTCACTCTGAAGAAAAATGCAAAACTGTGAATATATTCACTCAGTAAGATGTCAGTGAGCAGACTTAATTCACTTTGTATTTGTTATTGATTGTATTAATGTCCTAAAATGCAATGCGCAAAATGGAGTTTTGAAAAAATCTTAAAGAGACAGAAAAACACAGAAAATAAAATATAGTAATACATCTTTGGGGAAACATTTAGCTTTTTGTTCAAAGTATCGTCTCACTGATTTTACATGTCACAGGGAGTACTCTTCAGCCTTTGAAACATGTGTATAATGTCTTCTATGGCTCTAGAGGAGCTTTGTCAAATCTGAGAAAATGATTCAAGTGACATCCAGTGTCGTTGGAGCTTGACAAGGGACTAAAAGTCAGGGCAACTTGGGATGTGTTGACAGTTCTTTTTAAAATGTGTCTCTCGTGAGTGCTGTACGAAATCACTGCGTACAATTAACTGCAAAAACAGTGAATACAAATTAGCAGATTGCTGCGACACGGAATGACATTTTCCCATCTGCTGTTCTTCTAGCTTATAAACTTAAATAGTGGAGATATTGGGGTTATAGTGGAGATGAAACTGACATCAGAACCAGACAGACCCGCCAGTTAAAATACTCAACATTCAGAGCTGTAGGTCTGATAGAGAAAGAGGTAATCAGACATTGGTTTGATTGGTTTGATTGATTTGATTGTAGTGTAGTGTAATCAGACTGACTGACCAGACAGCTCCATGTGTCTGAAACAAAAAAACCCAGCTTTAAATACTTAAATACATGCCTGATTACCTCCTAAATTTCCCCATCTCGCTCTTAATGACTAAATTATCCCAGTTATTCACTCAAACTTCATGTTGTCCATATGCAGTAGAAGGCATATATACACACACATACAGTCGGGTTTAATGAGTCCATTATCCCAGCCATTCAGTGGAGGGCAGTGTGATTTTCTTGATGATAGATAGCAGTTAGTGATACCATCTCTCTACCACACACACACACACACACACACACACACACACACACAAAAGGGACACTTTCCCTCAAGCGTTAGCTGAAACATGTAAAGAGCCATACTGCACACAGAGCTATTGAACTAATCACATTGGACACACTTTATTCAATAATACATTCAGTACCATACTAAGTACCATAGTGTACCTGAACAAACATAGTCATACAAAGTTACACACATACACAGATAAACGAGTATGTAAACATACAAAAGCATATTTATTGGAAGGCACTATACCTATACTCATTGAATACAAACACCATAACCACCATAACTGCTGTCACACTCCCACCTGCAGCTACTTCATAAACTCATAACTGTCACATGAGAATATAAAGATTCATCATCACAATCACAGAATAAAAGTCCATGAACGGCTCAGAAGAGGTCTGGATGGTTTATTAAGTCAGTGTGAACCCGTTTCCCCACATGGAGAGTCATGTTTTATTCATACAAC